GACAATATCAGCTACTAATCATAGGAATCCAAATTTGACGCTAATCAAATCATAACAATTAAAAGATGGAGTTTCACTAAGAAATTCAATGTCAAATCCATATGACAGTGACTTCATCAAACACAGAATGGCAATGTACCCTGCTGTAGTCAAGAGATGATACAAGAGTCATATTCTCTCACTTTACCTCTTTCCAGTTCAAATTTGACTACGACCCTCAACTTTGAGTCTTACAATGGGACTGCAAGCTGCCATGCAAACATTCTGGAGCTTTCACTGCAGGCTTCTAGACACAGCATCGTGTCAGAAAGATAAAAGTGGCGTGTTTCAGAGGAACAGACTTGAAAAGAAGCAGAAAGTTCCTCCAGATCAATGTCAACAGATATCACTTCAAACAACGCTATACCCAAAAGACCATGCAGGTAATAAAGTCTCATATTTCTGAAGTTTGCTCGTGGTCAATTCACATCCATCAAATAGAAATATGAATGTACTATTGATAAGAACCACTTCAAAACAAAACAAATTAAAGTCAGAAAATTAATCTGGACTAGATAATAAACATATGGCCTGCTAAGGGTTAAATATGAGGGTGGATGTACAAACATTTACAGCAATTACGACAGAAAATACAAACTTTGCATTATCTCTTGAGGACTGCTGCATAATTCAATTATTCTGTGAAGAGGCTGTACAAATTACGGAGGGGGGGAGGGTTGCAAGGAAGGAGATCGTTATTTAATGAGGTAACTTTGCTCACAGGATTTAATACAAGTATGTACACAGGATATTATCAGTTGGACATTTTACAGTTTTGTTGTATCTGCAGCTGTTCTGAAATGCTTCAACTGTGTTTGGACATCTTTCCATTTGAAAAATTAAATCATTCTCCTGGACCATTGTAATCAGAATATGTGTTTGTTTTTGTAACTGCTTCTTGTTCATGTTGCACTTCCATTCACACAATAAACCACCTTCATACATAATAACACACACCTCCAGATCTCCTTCAGTCATCCGCAAACAGCTGGCAGCTACGCTGCTGGTGTCACGGTTACATCTGCAGACATAATTCCAGCTGTTGTGTATAAAATTTCCATAGCACTGACGACTCTTCAATTATTTTATAACCATATCTAAACATGTGGAATTTGATGTTCACATGGCAGCAAGCATGCAAATGGCTGCCTTCTGGGTTGTAGCACCGTGTACTCTGGCAGCAGTTTACCAATGTTTCAGAGGTACTTGCTGACTCCATCGTCAAGGAAACTAGTATGAGTAACTCATTGCCCTGATGATGGAAGCACCAAGTACCTCCGAAACATTAGTAAAGTTCTACCAGACTTCACAGTGCTGCACCTAAACATATTTCAAATTGTGCTTTCACTCCACATTTTAAAATATGCCACCTTCCAAATACTTACAAGTAACAGTAGTTTATTATTTTGAAGTACTAAAGAACAAAACAATTTATTATTCCATCAATTTTTGCAGGCCACTCTCACATTTTACACTAAATTTCACTCATGCATGGAGTGATATAATTTTCACATGTCTTTTTATTACAATTCTGATCTCAAATATAAAGGTGAATAATTATAAAATTAACTTTATTTTTTCTCCTTTTACACATAAATAAATGGACAAATCTGCTATGAAAATTTCCACTTTAAAATCTAAAACAATGGAAATGTGTGGAAAAAATTTACAAAGAGTGAAAATAGAAATAAAAGGGAAAATAATATAGCAAGTTTCTGATTTTACTTACTTGGAAAATACATTTTCAGACTGCAAATATTATACGGATATCAAATTACAGAAATATAATAAGATGAATGGTGTTATTAGAAGACATTCTGGCAAAAAAATTACAGTTGATACAAAATTGTGTTTACACAATATTACCTCAAAATCAGCACTCAGTTATGGCAGTGAAATATGGATTTCAAACAGAACAGATATTTAAAAACTTGAGGCAGCACAAATGCACTTTTTGAGACCACTACTAGGGTTTACCAGGCTGGACATTCAGGGAATGCTGATATCAGAGAAAAACTTCAGGTTCTAAATATAGTTGAAGAAATACAAAAATATCAACAAAATTGGAAAGACCATTCGCAGCGCATGGACAGGAATAGGCTTCCAAAATTGGCATTCTGTTACCAACCAAGAGGACACAGAGACCCGGGATTACCGAAGCATCGATGAAGGACCAGAAACATCTATCTTGGGATTCATAGCAACAGTTCATGATTACAATGAATGAAATTGACAAATAATTATTAACTGAATATTACCATTATACAGTCTTAGATCTGCAGCCAATCGAAGGTTTCAAACTTGATGCCCAACCTATGACCCATGATGTTCGTTAGATACCGATCAGACTTGCACTTCTTTAATTTTAACTGAACAGCAGGTTTGCATGTGCACTGGAGGTAAACAGAATTTAGCTCTCTACACATTCATCTGGGACCATCAATTTTACAGTCCATTTAGTTCTTTGCTTACAATGACAAAATCTCAGCTTCCTTGTAAATCCTGAATTAGCCATACCTTGGTGTTACGTAATGTTATGAGAAACGTACAGAACTTGACAGTATGAAATATTTACATGAGCACAGAAGACATATGTATCACATCCCTCAGGGCAAGAAAGAGCCAAGAGCCTCACACCAAACACTCACATTTAAAATTAATTTTGAGAAGCCAATGGCATTTGTTCTTCCAAATACCCATTTAAATTGATTAGCTTATTGCACACTAGCACATGAAAAGCTAACAAATCAGTTAACAAAATTTTAAACTTTTGAAAGGTAGTGGAAAGACATTCAAAATGATTTGTATGAGTGAAGAGACGTGCTCTTTGCCAGGCATTATGGTCAGTTAACAAGAGTCAATCATTGTGGCCAGTCACTGAGCAGTTTGAGATAACAAGTTGCAATTATAAAATTCACAGTTAATAAGGAATGACTAAAACAGCAATTAATTATGTCAGCAACAAACATCCCTATAATTAGGAATCATCACCATCAGACTTATTAGCAAAAATTGTATATTAACTAACCAACTAACTAGACGGCTTATAGAACCCCAAGGTTCATCACCGAATTAATCAAAGCCCTCCACCGGACCCTGTCCTCAGTCAAGAAAACCCAGTTGCCTTCTGTCTCCCATAGATCCTGCTTGATATTATCTTCCCGTTTATGTCTAGGTCTCCCCAGAAAATTATGAAAAATTTAAAATCGTATACTACATAATCAAATAAAACTGTAAATTTCAAGTTGAACTAACAGTTCTCATAATAAACATCAGCATTTCCTGAACATCAATATAATTAATTATAAAAGGGATCCTGGTTGCAATCTCATCCCATTGCCTTGAGAAGAGATTAACATATTTTGCGAAAGTTCTGAGCTAGAGAAAACTTGAAAAGTGAGTCCAGTGAAAGATCAGAAACAGTAAAACTTGTGCTGAAAGGTGGAGAAGTAAGTAGAATGACTATAAACGCAGCACAATATAAAACCATTGAAATCAGTTACAGCTCCGTCAATAAATGGATGACA